GAACGAAAGATAACGATGCGCCAGGTCGGTCTTTGTCTTGACACAGCTCCCCCACCGCAGACGCGGAGCACCTTGGTCTGTGGAAAAAGATGCACCTTCACGGCCACCGTCCTGGCGCGGCTCGAGGAGCTTCGCGACGCACGGCGCGAGGAGCTGAGCTTCGCGGCGCGGCGCTAAGCGGACCAAGCGGCTTGTTCGTCCTCAGGCGTGCCAAACGAGCATTGGTGAGAGCAGCCTGGCATGGACATGATTGACAGGATCCAAACGTGCACCAAGCTACAAGTTGTGGCTTGTTAAGTGGCTAGATGAGTCGTGTTTATAGGTGTGGTTACCGTGGTTACCTGAGTTTCAAGCTAAGTATTGAATAGATCATTCCCGTCTCCACTGGCTTCCGGGGACTACTTAGGTTCATCAGACTGACTCTGGCCAAAACTATTCGGTGAAAAATTGTCTGGTTTAGGAATCATCTAAGACGCTCGTTTCACAAATGTAAGAATGCACCGGTCAGGGATGCCTTAAGACCTTGCCATCTCAGCTGTGACATTGGCTGTGACCAAAAAGCTAATTATGGCCCTGTAGGCACTCCGCAATTGCCTGGTAGACTGCTGCAGAATGTTTGCTGCTGGCATTGGCCTCAGTTCCCCACAAGTACCACTGAGCTGCCTCTGGAACATGATATTGCTCTCAAAACCCTAGCACGGCAACGAAAGACGATCATACTCCTTCAGTCTCCATGTGGGTGAGTGACATCCAACTCTTCTCTGCATTTGCTGGGCAGTCCCAGAACTGTTTCGAGTCGAGACCAACTGCTTTGGGCCATGGCGCATTCCTCACAACTTTCGTGATAATCACACACTTTTTGGTGAACCAGGGATCACGTCAGGAGATGGTCAGGAGTGATGGGCCCGCTGAAACCTCAAACCTCTTTCCATTCTGAACCAAAGCAGCAAAGGCCTGACCTAAACCATACATGCTGTCGAATCCTCTCCGGGACAGCTGACGAAAACGATGGCGTCGGCAGCTGCAGAGTTCTGGTCCGTCCTGACAGGGGTGGCCGCTCAAGTTCCGATGGTTCCCAACCCCAACCCAAGGTTTTAAGGTAGGAACAAGTGCATCGCTACTAGTAACAAGTGCCTTACTAGTAGTAACAAGAAGCTAGTAGAAACAAAAATTAAGTTATATATATTGTTTCTACTAGCTTCTTGTTCCTAGTAGTAAGGCCCTTGCTCCTAGTAGCGATGCCCTTTGTTACTAGTAGCGTCCTTGCTCCCAATTAAGGAGATATAAGGGGTAAGGTGTCGATAACCGGCATGATAAATATATTTTTAGTGATGTTGTGCTGTGGATCGTAACTGTCTGTCCAGAGAAAGGTACCCAAGCCTGACCTGATGCATTCATATTCTTATCTCATATTTCCACAACATTCGGTGACCTTCACCCACTAGCGATGGCCTCCTGTCCTAACGACCCGCGTGCGTTTTCGCCGAAGTAGAAGCTACACAGCTCCTGGGTTCCGCCACCACGTAGAAGCCGCCAAACCTCCGTCGCGGTGCTTCAGAGAGAGAGAGACGACTTGGGATCCGAGGCTTGCCCGGCACCGGTGTCATCGGTCCAATGTGTTGGTTTGGTCATAGGCGTTCGTTTGGATCCGAATCCAGCCTCAAAACAACCCTCTACATCTGGTAATCTCTCTACATCTGGTAATCAGACACAGTGCTTCTACAACTGTTTAAAGCGGGTCCGTCCGTTCCATCACGAGCTGACCTATCCACCTGCCCGTCCATGAGTGTTGTTCGATCGGATCGTTCACCGTTCCTTGAGTCATCATTTCGTTCCACACATCTCGTCCACCATCCAGCCCATGAGGATCAGATCTGTCTGAAGGAACATGTCACATATGTCATATGTTGTGGTCATCATAGGACAGAGGCCGGGGGTTGGTGACGAAAGGTAGCATGGTCTGGTAAAGCAAGAGTAACTCCAGCTAGCTGACGCTAGCTTTCGTATGCTTTCGTGACGTCATGATTCACCTTTTGCAAACAGATCTGGATCCGGTCATTTGATGACTCGGTGTACCACGTCACTGACTCTGAGCTCAGTGGCCGAGGGCAGCTGCTGGACGAGTCGAGGATTTGTTGTGAAAAGGCCTGGGCTAAGTCCTTGAAGTGGCCCACCTTCGAAGTGAAGAACGACATCGTTCGGGAGTCGGAGCTGCCGAGCTGGCGAGTCGGGGCTTCACTTCACAACTCCGAAGGCCAAGCAGGAAAGGTGTTGATTTCAAGTGATTATGATTAGTCATAGTCACTTGGTCAACATGTTTGAATGCTCCTTGTACAAAGTGCTTAGTCACCGCGATTGGGCTAGAGTGAAAGGTCGGCAGTTCATGCGAACCAACCGTCCGTTCATGGATGAGAGGTCGGTCAAACAAAATGCAGCAGCAGGTCGTGTCTCTAACACTGGATTGCCAAGGTGGAAACGACCAACGACCAACTGATTCTGGGCTTGTCGTCGAATGAATCAACACCTGGTCCCCAATGTAGTAAGCCAAGAATCCAAGAATAAACAAAGCCCCCGTCAACACATTCTCTGTCGAAAACAACCTACCACTTGTCCACGCCTCTTGAAGAGAGGCATCTCCCCCTCTGTGACTCCCTTCCCTGAAGGAGGGGCCTGGCCCCTGAGATCCTCGCCGAGGTCACAAAACTCCTGGCCAACCCGAGGCTGCACGGGCCGAGGCTCCCGAGGCTGTCGGTCCATTCCCAATCATGCACCTATGTTTGTACAAGCTGCCACGAGCATTCTTTGACAAAAGGACCCGACTATGTCTCCTGTCTCAAGCAAAAGGAGCAAGGGAACAGCGGGAAAGGAGTGATTTGAAATTCTGAGCTGGAAATTCTTGCACCGCTGCCAGCTCACCCCGGTTAGTGTTTGACTAGAGTGGTCCCCGAACCAGTCTGGCCAAACTCAGTGTGCACATTTTCTTGCGCATCTTCTTTCCAACAAATTGTCCTGCAGAAATGCACCGGCAACAAGCACCACGAGCACCGCTGGAAAGGGTCACCCTATGGTCGGTTACTTGGTTGTTGCCATCCTGACTCCCTCCGTTTCCCTGCTTCATGAAGGTTAACCCCTCTTCCAGCTGTTGGATGTGAATGGGGGTGTTCCCAAATCCCTCAAAATGCTTTTGTAGCTAATCCACTCTTCTAGAGTAGGCCATGCCGAAAACCCTACGAGCCTTGCCGAAGGCGGAAAACCCCGTGTCAGGCAAAAGTCCCCGTGGCCGCGGCAAAAAAGACAGCGCTGGGTGGCGCGCTGCTTGGCTGATCGTACCATCTCCATCAACGTCTAAGACTGAGATGACCGCCTCCTCACATCACAAAGCAGTGTTGCACCAGGACAAACAACGAGTTTGCACGCCGCAATCAGAAGAACCAGTTGAACCACTGCATGCCGCAATCGTTGCAGGTCCGCCTGTAAAGGGGGTTAGTATCCGGTGTCCGCCTTGCACCATTTCTCTTATAATGAGAGGGCCAGGTAGCCAGGGCTCAGCATTCCTCTCCAGATGGTGTCCCTCGGGCCCTCTGGTTGGTCACAAAATGTCACTCACAAACAAAATGTTTCAAAAGCCCATGAGAAGGGCTATCCAACCATGATCGAGGCGGCCCCGAATCCCTTTCCATGTTCGACCAACCGTTTCCCAAACCTCAAAGCCATTAAGACTTTGCCATCACCGTTAGCTTTTCTGGCAACACAAACAGCTGAATAACCTATTCTTCACAAGCTGCAGGTCACCAAGCATGATCATTGCTACTAGTAGTAATGCCCCTGTTACGTTCGTCGCGATGATATTCCAACCTAAGAGCGATGGCCTCCACCGACTATAGTAGCTTCTTGCTATTTATGCCAAAACAACTCGCCACATGAAACCGTATCAGCCTCAGACAACGAAGCAGCAAAATAGCCTGTCCTCGATGATCCAATCCATCCAGTCCTGCAACTCTTCCGCACTCCTGAGCTTCTAGGTCAGCATGCACCGGTCAGTCAGCATGGTCCGAGCAGCCGTCAAAAGACACAGCTCTCAGCTCTGTTGTATTAGGACCTGCAAGATCCAAGGCTCTGTTGGAATGGGTGTTGAAAGCATCAAGTTGAGGAATCTCAAGGCAAGCTGTTCGGACTTGGTAGGGACTCTTGGTCACCACTTGAGGTGCCTTTTATGTTGGTTCTCACCCCTTGAAGTCGGCATCTCTGTGGTGTCGATGTACGTATACCAGGCATGATAAACTCTAAGGAAGTTATTATAAGTTATTACTATTCCCTGAACGAAGATGATTCTTCTTGGCGGCGGAGGAGTGCTTGCCCAGCTACGCCAGATTTGCACCAATGTCAATGCCCAGCTCTTGCCTTGGTGCAGCCAGTGCTTTATACATCATGAACATCTCCGATCGAATTGATGAACACGAGGGGAATCTATTTCATCGCCTCCGGCAAGGTCTTTTTGTCAACAGATATAATCTACGTTGAATCTAGGTTGAACAAGGGTGTTCGGTTGAGTCTGAAAAAGAGACCGGAAGGAAGCAAACAGAATAAGAACACAAACAGCATGTCCCCAAGCTACCAAATCTTCCGAAGTCCGGCCTGATTCGTTCTCGTAGCAAACCTCCAGTAAGCATCTTAGCAACCTCATTCACATCAAGAAAGAAAAAAGAGACACGTCATCGCTATTAGGTTGGAGGCCATTGCTATTAGGTTGGAGGCCATTGCTACTAGGTTGGAAGCCATTGCTTTTGGTTGGAGGCCATCCTCTTAGGTTGGAGGCCATCGCTCTTAGGTTGGAGGCCATCACTATTAAGAAAGAACAAAGGGACTGTCATCCCGGCTGCCTTTTCAGGCTCAAAAAGAAGAGAAAGAGAGAATCCACTTCAGGTGTTGAGTATCTTCAGAGACCTTGCTCTTTGGCAAAGGAACAGACTCAGGCTGCTCAAGCTCTTTTCATCCGCAGTGCTGCGCAGTACCAAGCAACTTTGGCCGACCTGCCTGCATCCTGCCTCACACCAACTCACACTCTCACAGGCCACTCCTCCCATTCTCCCTTGGCAGAATAGCAAGTGACTGCCGCAGCGTCCTGCTCTCAAATCCTTTAGTTCGACGTAGAAGTGAAGGAGCAGCTCTTGAACAGGGCTTCCCCTCTGCCATGTCCACCAGATCATCACAAAGCGGCATAGGAGACCTGGACCTGAACTGCTGGACCTCCCGACTCACATAGGAGACCGTGGCCGTGTTCGCCACTTGGACGGAGCAAATCCACAAAGACCGCGAGCGGCTCTTCATCGCCACGAGTATGAAGATGATGACCCATCATCTGTGATGGTCTGTTGGAAGCTCTACCAGGAAATCGGCACCATGAGCATCTCGAGGATCATGCCCCAATCACCAACATCCTGGCAGGAAGAGGCTTCGACCACACCAAATCATCAGTTTCGATATGTAATCCGACCCCACCCCTACATAACTCACACAGCATCTGGTCAAAACCCTCGCTTCGGAATCCCAAAGCAACCTCGATGTGGCCATACTCCCTGTGGCACCTCAAAACACAGGTACTTCCTCAGCAATGGCTTATCTTTGCTACCAGACCCCACACGTGCACGGCATTGAACACCTAATCTCCACCAGCCTGGCCTCCAAGACAAAAGCAGCTCTCCCTTTGCTTCACATCATCTCGTCGACGTGGGAAGTATTGCCGCATCACCTCCTGTGCGTATGACCCAACTGAAAGAGTCGCGTAGCTACGACTCTTGCTTACAACCATCAAGAAACCATGACATACAGTAATTGGATGTGACTTCAAGTTTGAGCTTCTTTCATTGTCTACTGAGTCTACTGTTCAAGCCACCATGAACCAATGAACCTTCGGTCAAAAACTGGACAGAACACATCGAGCTCATCACCTGGACAGCCTCACACCCGTGGCTACACAAAGCCCGACAGTCCTGCGCTAAGGTCTCGAAAGCCAATTCCACATTCTGCTGAGTTTTCACCGAGGTCTCCAAATACTTCATGTCCATCCGTTGCGCCAGACTGGCCGCCTCGGGTTTTTTTGTGTGTCGTCTCATCTGCCGGTAAGAGCCATCTGTCTTGTGCCTCGCGGTTCAATAGATCGTCACCCTAGAAGCGATGGCCTCCAACCTATGATTGTCACCCACAAGCAAAGGCTGGACCACGACACTTGGCCAAAATGGATCCGATATGTTGGGATATGTTGGATCACTCATATCATATCAATTATCGCTCATACACTGACTGTATGTGCGCGTGCGCATCCGTATACAGCCTCCAAATCTTGACTCACTAGGGCAACGGCAGCTGCAGGCTGCCCCATGCGAACGAAACATCAAAACTCAAAGACCTGCATGATCCTAATTTTTACGGTTCCTACTAGGAACAAGGACGCTACTAGGAGCTCCTGACATCGCTACTAGGAACAAGGACACTACTAGGAGCTCCTGGCCTTACTACTAGTGACCAGAGCGCTACTAGGAACGAGGAACGGTTCCTTTTGCCTTTCCTCCAGTTGCATTGGCACCCCATACCTGCCACAGCAACGGTCGGTCGTGTCGCCTCCTTGTAGGACACCACGCGGCGGTGCGACAGATCCGCTTTGTTGCCGATCAAAATCATACACATCTCCTCCCGCAAACCGACATGAGATCAAATCCAAGAGGATGGAGAGAAGTTCTCAGTTTCGTTGGTGAGAACTGATTTTCAACCAGACCCAGATTCGCGAATTGATCATCCTTAGAACACAAGAGATGAATCCCGACTCGATTTCGGAAAAATGGGGCTGATGAGCAACTGCTTGTTCGTCAAGAAATGCCTGCCCGAGCCGGCTCCTGATCTCGTCTGGGCCGTACCTCCTGCAAAGTTGGATGAACCATTGCGCACCATGAAAACAAATTTAGGTCACCAGATACCGCCCGTGAAAGCCCCTTCGTAAGGATATCTCCAAATGGACACTGCTGGTCCGACCATTGGACATCAAGTATTCCTCACCTTGCAAGACTGACACAAATCCCCAATCACAACCTGCTTCCTTTGAACCCTAGGCGAAAAATCACCGCGTGGCTCCAAATATTGGCGAAGAATCTAAGAGCGATGGCCTCCCACCTACAGTAAATAGTACTACAAGCAACCTGCAGCTACCTCAAATGCTACTCACTTGCCGTCTATTTCGGCCTGACGGTCTCCTCGATCCAATGTAGGACATTGTTGTAAGTCTCTCTGTCCGTCATGTCGAAAATCACCAAAACTCCTGACGTGGCGACCATCTCCATCCGATGACGTCCGGTCGACCGGAGCTCTGGTGGCCGACGAAAGGACGGGTCATCTCTGCCGCATCTCTTCCAGTGTTGTTTACAGGTCCATTGACTTATGAACCGAAGCCCAAGAAATCTGCCGAGGCAGCAGCGTTCGAATTCACCTACACATGCATTCCCCGTGGCCTCGCCTTTGATGCCGGAATAGGCCGCCCGCGCCAGGGCATTGAGACTGAAGCGTGGGTTCCCCGACAAATCCCAGACGTTCACTTTCAGATGCCTCGCATCGGCCGACTTAGCTAGTAACAAGGTGCATCGCTAGCAAGAAGCTACTACAGTGGATTCAGAGTAGATGGCACAATCCACAAGAGGTGGTTTATATGGACCCCCATCTAAATGACATGTAACCAGCGACTGAGCGCAGGAGCGGACATGAGAATGTCCTGACTCATTGGCATCGCCCAGGACGTTCGCTCAGCCCCGGACGTGCAACTCGGACGGTCAGACTCCGAATGAGTTTTCTACTGGGCCAAACATGGGGGTAGACCTTCGGTGACGTGGGAGCCCTTCTCTCGAAGAAAGCGTTTGGGGCGCTTTCTTAAGGCCCCTACAGGCCCTACTTCCCTTCTCTGTGACATCCCAGAGCTCTGAATGGAGTTGAGAGGAACAAAACAATCCACCATGCTCCACGATGGTCCCAGAAGAATCACACCCTTGGTCCTCCCCTCATAGCGCGATCGTCTAAAACCTTGGTTTTGGGCAACGAAGCCTCGTGGTCTAAAACCCCGGCCTTCCGTCCAGAAACATCCGGCGGATCCGGAAATCCACGCCAATGGTGCCTTGCAAAAGCAAATGACTGGACGCTTCTAGGCTGGAAGCCATCGCAAGTAGCATGGAGGCCATTGCTATTGGGGTCTTGCAAATGACTGGACGCCAAAGTCCTTCAAGTGCTGAGGGCCTCGACTGAGGGGCCGGAAACCTCCATATGTCTTTTCAACCTAATAGCGAAAGCCTCCAACCTAGTAGCAATGGCCTCCAACCTAACAGCGATGGCCTCCAACCTGGTAGCAATGGCCTCCAACCTAATAGCGATGGCCTCCAACCTAATAGCGATGGCCTCCAACCTAGTGGCAATGGCCTCCAACCTAATAGCGATGGCCTCCAACCTAGTAGCAAT